TGGCCCGCTCGTTGGTGTGGCCCGCTCACCGGTGAAATACGTTATAACCTGCTTGGTATTATTCGGGCACAGCTGGAGCCTCCTTATATCTCATAGCTCGGTCAAAGGTGTTTCTGCCCGAGTTCTTATCCGAGCTCAAAGATGTCACCGGATGAAGAGCGTACTATCTCCTGAGCTAAGCCAGAAACATACCATTATACTTGCGCATCATCTCCTACCTACTTGCGTCCAATTAAAACAAGGCTACCTTTCACAATTACTAGTAGATACCCCGCACTATGAATGCCGCATAGAAGTACCCAACCTAAAGGTTATATTGCGTTTCTGCATATTCACCTTTCCTTGCTTCTTTAGAATATATTGATTGATCGGTTGACAGCAGAGTAAAACATCTCACTACCCTTAGCCTCAAGAACGGTCTCGCTCAAGGTTAAATAGTATGCCTCAACGTCGTATCGACGCATACTTCTCCTACACATCGATACCAGGAACTCCATCGGGGACATCATTTTTAGATCTTCCATATTCACTCCGCCGCTACATCTATATTCTATCGGGGTTGGTTCGCTTCTGTCCCATTAGTTTCAACCGATCGGAGCTTGATGGTCCGAAATGCGAACACCCATATAGAGAAGAAGGATGCTTCTATAAGAATCGGCGGTTCCAAGGCAGGTACATACTTGGATCAGATGAAGATTTCATCAATAGATGTTCCTGCCCACCATTACCTATTCAGTTGCTCTATGTCTCGCCGACCATATCAGATGAAGTATCATCTATTTTGTATTCGGAGAACAAGTTCACGATCAGTCGGAGCGGTTCTTGGGGCTTACGCCCATTACGGAGGCTCAGTAGACATGCAATCCACTCGTTACAATCCCTTACTATTATCCTGAATAATTGCTCATGCGTCTTTCAATATGGACGGACTACCTTCCCGCTCATGTTTGCATGTCATCCGTTTTGTCGGAGTTATGGTCTCCATGATAAATCACTGGGTAGTGTGGCTCGACAAGACCGGGCAGTCCTGCAGGAATGGCAGACCATCCTTCAAACCCTAGCAGACAATATTCAACCTCGATTACTTCGTCTAAGCTTTATTTGTGATACTAGGGACCTTCAAACTGCGAGAGGCATTGTTGAATCTCTAGGATGTCTCCCCTTACTTCGTGATTGTTCAATTCGTCTCGGCCAGAACCCAGACTGGTCGACTTACTCTCTAGCCCGATCCATAAGCCTCCAGTTAACAGGCAAAACACCCCAGAGTTTCGGCTCCCGCATGACACCACACCTGCCTGATGAAGTCTTGGAACATATACTGTCCTTTACCGAACTTGTGGCTCCATTTCAGCTGGAATGGTGTCCTGATCGGGGCTTGTCTCCCTTTGACTGCTGCAAGACATGCAATGATTCCCTTGAAGGCTGCTGCTGCTCCTTCTACCATGCAGCCTACGCAACTGGGTGTACCTGTTGGAGATTGCCGCTTTCCATTTTCCTAGTCAATAAAAGGATGAATAGGATTGCCACTTCAATATTTTACTCCAAAAACACTTTTTTCATTGCTACTCTCCACCGCAGTTGTGTTATCTGGTCCCTAGAAAAACCACTTTTGGTCCCGACTATAACCACGGAATTCTTTAACAGTCTTCCGTCTCATGCATTTCCACACCTCCGCTCTATCACCGTAGGCTTCCTTGACTCTTGGCCCCATTTTGCCCTCACCCCCCAAGCCATGATGGGCTGGAAACAAGGCATTGATATAATGACCAAAAAGCTTGACCTCCTGAAGCTTACACTATCACTTGAGATTGAAGTACCCAGATATCTAGGAGATGGGTGGCTTCAGGCATGTCATTCAATAGTACATCCCTTAGTTCATCTGGGCAGGATCAAGGGGCTATTTATCTACCTCTCTGGTCTAGGAAAACGATATTATGAGAACGAAGGAAAACAATATGAGACCACGCTAGAAAAGACTGTTCTTGGGGATAAATATGATGCCGTGCCACAGGAGAAATATGATGCGAAGCTTCCGCTATGGTATGATGGCTACAGCCGGGAAGGCCCGGTTTACCAAGCTGATGGGCGGGAATTCTGGGCTCCACCTGAGGATGGCGACTCAGATTATTACTATGACTATTATGGGAATGCTCTATAAATCATGGAGCTCTAGTTCATACGTTTCTGCTCAACTAGAATTGTTTGTAGTTTAATATTTCTCGTGCCTTGTGGATACATTCCTCAGAATACCTCTTTGTGGGGCAATTTAATAGCCAGCCTACCAGCCATCCAGCGTTTAGTTCCCCGATGACAACTCCTAGGGCAAGGGGTACGTTGAAAATTGGACTTATTCACAGAGCAGTGAGACCATAGGGCTTGGTAAATCGTTTGACACCGTTAGAAAAAAGAGCAGGCTTCCGTAATCAAAACATTGCATATACAATATCGCCAAGAACACGGTAGCTATCTACCTTCATTGATATAGTTGGCAATGCTTTATGGCAGTCAGATTGAAGTTTACTCTTAATGGGCACATGTCAGTTACCATATCAAGAAACCTAGAGAAGGCGGTACTTTTGACGACAAGTTAACGTCGGATTTCTAGAAGGGGCTGAACTCAGACCGTACGTGACGGCGCACACGACTCCAAAACGTACTTTGGAAAGGTTTATATGGTCTAGAAAAACCTGATTCGGCTTTGTACATCATCAAGGTGATAGTGAATGCAGCTTGTGTTGTGCGTGATTCGCTCTACCGTGCCCTGGCTTGAGATTTCCATATTTCCGGGCCATTTGCGCGGGTCAATGTCGTTTAACTAATTGTTAATTTTGTCCCGTTAGGTGTATCAGGCTGATATTAGACTGGCATGCACACAGTATTCTGCAGTTTAAAAAAGTTGACAAATCTATTATCCTGTATTAAAGTAGACATCCTCTCCCACCACTGCGAGCGCGCCGGAGCCCTATATCTGGTTGGAAATGGCCAGCCATAGTGTGTGGCATCCTCCTTCCATGGTCCCAGTATCAGTTCTCATTCGAAATTCCTATAGGCGTGAGACAGTTTGGTAATGTTCGGCAGGTATATGATAAACTCGGATCGGTTCCAGTGCCTACGGCGAAGGATCTTCAGAAGGATCGGGTTTCATCCTAATTAGTCAAATAGGTTTCACCTTGGCATGTTGTTATTGAATCCATTGATAGTGTTTTTGTTTCCATTCCAGAATTACTCCGTAATATCTCCGGCCATGAATATTCTACGTTGTATGTACGTTGAGATCCAACAATTCTGAACTAGGGGATTAGGAACACTCGAAGCGAGGCCAGAAATTAACCATATAGCCTATTCGGCAAAATTTGTGCCTATCATTTCTCCACATGGCTTGACATTCTACGGCGATTCTTCACTGACATCATGGTCTAGCTAGTGTTAATTTATGCCAGAGATATTAATGCCCTAGGGCCAAGACACTACGGGCCATCCGATCCTTCCACGTGCAGGAAACACACCCTGAAGAATAGCAGTCTAAGGTCTTAGTATGAATTACTACTGCATTAGGCGCATACTCGTCACCAACGGCAGTTCTGCTACCGTCGAACTAGATCAATATTTTCGGAGTGCCCCTTTTCTTCTTCTTCCGAGCGACGATCCCCGACATGCAAGTACATAAGACCAGGCCCAGCGACGATCACTCCCCTTTTTCTTCACTTGTGACTTGACACTTTTCCTCACAGGCAAGCATAAAATAAATCAAAGAAAAAATAGGGAAGAAGATGCGCTCTATCGCATACCTCGCCAGCGGTCTTCCGGTCGCTTTGGCAGCCACCTCCGGCCAATTTGATGTTCTCTCCTTCAACGTAGCCGGTCTGCCGGCGATCCTCAACGGCAACGAAGTGCCCGGCGATAAAGCCAACAACTCCGAAGCGATTGGTGCCAAGTTCGCCGAATACGGTTATGATGTGATTCATGTACAAGAGGACTTCAACTACCACGCCTACATATACAAGACCGACAACCATCCTTATCGCACCGCCACTTCTGGAGGGGCGGCTATCGGGTCCGGATTGAACACACTTGCCAACTATCCCTGGGTGGACTTCGAGCGCGTCAAGTGGGAAACATGCTCCGACGCTTCTGGTGCCGATTGTTTGACCCCCAAGGGATTTACCACGATGCGCATGCGCTTCGACGAGGGTGTTTATGTTGATTTCTACAATATGCATACGGATGCTGGGTATGGACTTCCCACCTCGAAAAAAAAATAACATATCCAGATACTAATGTGTCGTAGTTCTGAGACCGACGACGTCAAAGCCCGCAGTGCCAATCTCCAGCAGGTGGCCGATTATATTGGAAACAATTCCGCGGGCAATGCGGTTCTGGTCTTCGGCGATACTAATGCGCGATACACTTCTTCTGGCGAGAATATCCGCGTGTTCGGAACTGAGCAGAACATGACGAACCCTTGGGTAGAGCTTATCTTGAATGGTGTCGAGCCTACAGAGGGAACTGATCCCTGGATGTGCGACAACCCGACGACGAACAACACCTGTGAGACGGTTGATAAGATCTTGTAAGTGACCGTTCAGCTTAATGTGTTGTTGAGATATAGCTAATATGTAAAATAGCTATCGGGGAAGCCGTTCGATCGAGTTGAGTGCGACCTTCTGGAGCTATGTTGGCACCAAGTTCGAACTTGATGGACATATTCTCTCCGATCATAACCCCATCACCTCCAACTTTACATGGACTTTGTCTGACTCAGTGCGCCAGAGTGATCTTTTCGGTGGACCTCACGGGTATGTATTATTCTCGGCACCTTGACTTTTGCACCGAGCTAAGTATCACAGAAACTGGTTCAACGATCTCTCCTCCGTCCCCTCATCTTCAACGGGACAGAATAAACCAAGCAAGATCACCCTTCGGGGCGAAAACCGCGTGGACAGTGTCGGCTTAGCTTTGACTTCGGGCCAGAACTACACCCACGGAGGAACAGGCGGTACTGCTTCCGAGCTTACCCTGGCGGAAGACGAATACTGGACTCAGGCCAAACTCTGCCAGGATAAATACGACAATCATACTCGCATCTTCTACCTGCTAGCAACGACTAGCGCTGGCAATACTGTCAGTACCGGGAAAACAACGAGCGACTGCAAGGAGTTTACTGCGCCGGATTCGTGGCAGATTGTTGGGTTCTATGGACGGGATGGGGATGAGGTGGATGAGTTGGGTTTTATTTATGCGCCGCAGTGAGGAAGGCTGGTGCTATGGAGGGAATTATCATTCCTTGTATATAATGTGACACCTTTAGTATTCTATGAGGTTGTGCGGGTTATGTAGAAAGGTCCTATAAGTACATAACGTTTGAGTGAATCGATTGCACGGCCTAGATTGATTAAATGGGCTTGGATTGATAATGTAAAGATGAAGCAAAAAATGATGTTTTAGGCGTCTCTATAGGGTAATTTATAGGGTTATTCTCAGGTTGACATGATGCCACTTATAAATTCTCGACCAATCAGAACTCAGACACTGAAAGTCAGCCTTCTCTATTGCTTACTTCGCTACGCTCCGTTGAGCAATTACGCACCAAAATATATGAGATTAATGATATGAGGACAGAGAACTTTGAGAAGTTCACTTGGGAAGTGTAGGGTTAAAGAATTGAGGAGTGCACTTTTGGAGTCAGAGGCGTCGCTTTGAGGAGTGAGTAGATGGAACAGACTGGAACAGAACATCGTGTTACGTGAATTTCCAGCGCATTGAGAGCCAGAATGATGAATAACCTATGGGATATGTCCTGTCCAGCTTCTCAGAAGGACAGGAGAATTACTGTCCTACACAAAACTATCCTCCTACCAGCATATTGCACAGCATTCATAGCTCCCTAGCCATTGACTTTATCTTCCTCGTACTAGCTTCCTGTTCTTCTTTGCCCCTAGCACCCAGAACTTGGTCAGAAAATCTCCTCTTTATTTGCCCTAGCTCATATTTATTCCTCCACCCCAATCCATGCAATTGTTGCACATGTTTTGGGATTTTAGCCACGTAGTTGCATTTATCAGTATCACCTGTATGTCCGAGGAACGCTTTATATAGACATAGGAAGAAAGGACGAGGAGGAGGAGGAGGGAGAGGAAGACGACGGAGAAGAATAAAGAAGGATACAAAGTAGGTATACTAAATATCTAGTTTATTAGATGAGGTGTTGGAATAAGTTGAATGGCATAGCTCCCAAAAAAAGATATGTGACTTGCCTATAACACAGCAATGAGCTATATCGTATAGGTCTCGCATTACTTGGCTCGGGACTTTTCAATCCTCATACAAACGTTTATGTGAATGATGAGAATTGCTGACAAAATCCTATATGATTGAGATAGGATTAAATGCATGCAACTATTCAATGGCGTACTGTGGTCGATGAAGAGAAAGAAAAAAAAAAAAAAAAGAAAAAAAGAAAAAAAAAGAACGAATGAGCTTTGAACATTCAAATGTGAGAAATTCATTCAGAGACATACTACAGGTCCATTCTTGTCCTCTCAGTTGCTAAATCATCAATGCTAGCTTATTCTCGAAACTACGTGACCGCTTGATACATCCCCTAATGCAGCAAAAAGCCACAGTGACCTATTAATAGACCCCCAGGGTAGCCACCACAAGATAAATATATCTATTAGTAAAACCGTTAGAAAAGAAGGATCTTGAAAATAAGACTTATCACTGTTGTGCTATTCATGCCAGCATACCCCTCTCAGTTAGAAAGCCAACATTGACAGTTCTTCTAAGCTTGCCCTATAATAGGCCCGACGTACCAGTTAATGCAGTGACAAATATCTTCTTACTTTGCTACAAACCCTTCTCATTGTACCTTAAATTACGTATAACAAGGCGAATAATGGGCAATCGGGCAACAGGACACGAATCAATGATACAAACCTCAAGACATGCTTTGTACTCATAAGTTTTATGGAGAACCATGTTCAAGAATAAGTGATACAGTGATGTAAGGAAATCATGTAAAGTCGCAATTGATGAATGCGCTGTATAATCACACATGGGCCATCAAGCTATATTTCGTAATTTGAGGGACAGGTCATGGCAATCGGTACTCACTGCGACTATCTCTACACTGTTTTCATTGCTTCTCACTGACGGCTCAGTCTGAGCTTTATAATATTATGACTATCCAAATCTCCCGTATGTCCATTCTCAACTCACGCTTTAACTGGCTTGATTCAGAGACATGTCTGTCAGTCAATATTCCTTCCAAAGCGGAAGTCATCCGAGTGTTCCGCTCCCACTCAGGAAATCAACGAAAGGGACTAAGATGTAGAAATCAATACTGACGATCAGTATCAGCTCAATGCTCACCGACCCGAGAAAGGTCAGCTTCTTGCAAGTCGCCCACGCTGTTAATATGTCTGCGCTGTACTAGTAGGATCCAAGTACAAGCGCTTTTCCAGATCAGGCTCTCGACTGGAATTTAATAGAAACTCGGATTGTTCGGGATGCCGAAAAGTCAGTGTTGGACCCATAGAAATATATTAGTCGAGATAATTATATCATTCAATACAATGTTGTTCTGTGTGCTTGGTGATTGTGATTTTTGTTGAATGTTATGAGTGATTATTTATCCCAGAGCAATACTAGTTTGTTTCTAGCACGCTCAAAAAATCTCCGTTCGTTATGCCCGCGCTCTCAATGCATCCTATTATTATTAGCTGCCTGAAACAGTATCAGCTTAGAAATGATTATCAGATCTCAGACCATGTATGTCACAATAGAGTTCGATAGCCAGGGCTCGGCAGCCAGGGTCCGGCGCCCGAATTGCGTAAGCTACGAGTCTTTGCTGCCTGCATGCAGAAAACATATGACAGATGCAAAGCCAGCCAATCCTTTACCTTCACTACATATTTCTAGTTCATCATCTTCAATTAACAAGACTGGTGGCGTAGCGGAAGCTGTATTCCGAAAAGTCCGTTAAAGTTTTCTTAGGGTTATGTGTAGCAGTCTGAAACTCGGTGAAGATCCCGTGTCCAGTAAAGAGGGAAGGAATTTGCTCCGTCTAAAATAGGGCAAGCCACCAGAAGGTTAAGAGCCGACTGGCTTGGTCCCTTCATTTATCGTACGCGGCTCTTCAGATACACGAGCTCCACAGGACCCACTGTTTTAAGCTCATCTTTACCCCTTTTACTCATTCCACAGCAAACACGGGCCATGTTCCAGGTTTCCAGAACCACAGTGCACATTCTGACCATTACCGTTGAAGAAGAGTCTCGGGGTGTTTCGGATTTTGTCCCCTTTTTACCGTTTTGGTTCCTTAAACGCTGGAGAGCTTCGAATGGATCCTGTTCTAAACTTTTATTCTCTTAGAGATCAGATCATACGAAATGGACCCAATGGGCACTAGAAGATCATTTCCTATTCATCCACGGAGCTCTATAGCTCTTTACTGTCTATATGAGTATTGATATCTGAATGATAGGCTATATAAGCCATGGGACACCCCATGAATAACTCTTCATACCAAACACAAACCCTGCCAACTACCAACTTCACACATTCATTTCAATCATTTATTCTTTCGCTCCTTCTATCCACCCAACTATTCACAATGAAGCTTTCTCTGAACCTTCTGCTCCTTCCTATGGCCCTCGGTGCCGCCATCGGTATCCGTGACGAGGGTCGCCGCGGCAACTACACTGTCCAGGGCTTGGGCGAGCGCAAGCAGGCCATCGTCAGCGCCGGCGGTAACACTATGGACCTGGCCATTGCCATGCTGGAGAAGTAGGTTCTATTTTGTGGAATTTGGAATAAGGCATCAGGTTTTATACTGACCGGTAAACTTTAAAGCGACAATATGGACCCCAGCACCTACCCCTACGGTAAGTCCATATCCAGCTAGATTGGTCTCAGTGAGCCAGATATTCTAACAGAACACAGGTGACGGCAAGACTGGCGATGCCACCAACTTCGGTATCTTCAAGCAGAATTGGATGATGCTGCGCACTTCCGCCACCGAGTTCCTTGGCCAGAAGGTTGAGGATGTCAAGAATGGCGAGGTCCTGAAGTAAGACACTCTGCTTTGCGGTTCTCTGTAACAAAATCTAATACATCTGCAGCACCAAGCTCGAGAAGGATATCAAGGCCCGTCACGACGGCGAGAAGAAGTACGGCTTCGATGTCTGGTACGCTGGTCACCGCAACGGCGCGTCCGGTCTCCAGAACCCCAACACTCAGGATATCACCAGTATGTTTTCTGAAAGATTTATATCTTTGTTCTTGTGCTGACTAGACGAATAGACTACAAGAGTGCCGTCAAGTGGATCAAGTCTCAGATTGAGAGCGACAAGAAGTACCAGAGCGACGACACCCGTTTCTGGGTTGATGTCGTTGCCATCTAAGCTGCTCCTCGAGATGGTGGCTGTTCGCTAGGGAGAGAAGACATGTGGCGGTTGTGTATTCGGCAGACTTCATTCTTTTTCCTATATTTAGACTCCGGGACTGGTTCCCTGTCGCTCCTTCAAATTTACTTTCAATAGACCGTGCTATATTACCTAGTCTTCCAATAATTGTCTATTTGCACTGCGTCCTTTAGTATGAGTCTGAACCAACTACTAATAAGTCATTTTGGCTGAATAGATACATGCTGACATTGTTATACCTATAGTACATATACATTAAGTATCATCTAAAACAAACACATCCCACATCTAAAACAGAAGAAACATAAACTGTTTCAATAGCACCAGCCTGGGGTTTCATCCTTACTCATTTTCTCATCATTTCTCTAAGCGTAAGGATATTGAAAGGCTTCAACGTCCCATGCCGTTCATACATATTCGTCCTATCCTGCTCATACAACGTAGCACAGGTAGTTTTTTTTTCACTCTTCCACCCCGGAATGTGTTCGTGTTAGTCATGTATTAAATGTAATGATTTCTCTTTTGCTGGTTATTCGGTGTCATTTATGAAAGACAACGTATTAACGGAATAGCAGGAGGACCATGATGTATGACTTGATACTCTTTCCAAAAGCACAGACCAAGTTATACGATCACGGTTTAGGCAATCGCCAGAAGGCACCTCCAGCAATTCCATGTCTGCCTTGACCTCTTTCCCTGCTTCTGTCACCCCCACCTGGAGATGAAGTGGGAGTTAATGGGGGCGAAGGCGCCCGAAACGAAGGCGCAGTGTCACTCTCACTGCATGTTTCTGGCACCTCTCTCAGATAATCTTTAGCTGGAGCAATAGCATGCGGGTAGGACACCTCATCAGAGAAGTCCGGTGATTGTGCTAGCCATCTATTTATAGTAGCCGCTTTACAAGCCACCGGATAGCTATTATTCTCTGAACAAACAGTCACAGAGTCATCGTCGGAGTCAATCAGAGTCACCTCATCGCTATCCGGATCAGGAAAAAGCTCTGGGAACATGAGGTGCAAACGCCGCTCGATTCGATCCAATCGCCTCGATAGTTCTTCGGCGGTTGGTCTGTACCCGTCAGTAAATGATCGCTTTTACGCTTACAGTGTCAGAAGTAAAATAAGATGCACAGACTTATCACTCTCCTGCCCTTCACGTTCCGTTACTACCGTTGGTAGTAGACATTGGCCCCTGGCAGGCTTCCAGTGACGCACGCCAGCGGTCTTCTTACGACAGATTCGTCCATTCAATAGACATGACTTGGAAAGAGATCTGTCGTCAAACTACCAGGCTGTTTAGCCGCCCTTCTGGCAAGATGTAACACCGCTTGTACAGAACAAGGGTTATCTTACCTTAAACTTCTTCCACCGGCAGTCACTATCTAACTCAGCAATTCCGTCAAAGCGAGCAGATACAAAATACAAGTTATCCCAGACCTACCAAGTCTTTAACATAGATCTACCCCGTATCTGCCGTTTCTTGACAGGCCTATCCGATTCGTTGTCACTATGGGAATCACCTGCAGGGCGCTTAGCACCTGTTTGGCGGTAGGCAGTTGTTGTATCGCTCAGACGTCGTGCCATTGTAATTTAAAAAAAAAAAAAAAAAAAAAAGGTTGTATATTGTTTGTATCCTAACATATTTCACTCAAGTATGTCAGTTGAGACTCTTCGCTCATTTGTACTATCGGCAGACGGTCCATAAGCGTGGCGTAGCGTGTCTTCCGGGAATCTCCAGATCGTTCCGCCACTCGGCACGATTAGTCAATTTCGGGATTATCGGAATTGATGCCTTCGAGAGTTTATGATTATATAGTAATAGTAAGCTTATCCTACTGTCGGATATATCGGATACTATGGATTCGAAATCGTGGAAGTGTGTGTTAATTCTTTTTACAAGCTTGACTGTTATGCCGAGGTGCCGTTAACCAGGCACGGAATTACCGGAACTAGGGGACGGAAACGCCGGAGTGATTTTAATGGACCGTAAGTTTCGGTGATATCTGCCTAGATATTATCTCATAATATATTCCAGGGTCTTGGAGATGTTGGAACTATTATATGGGTTTGTAGCATTCATCTATATTGTTTTTGTTCGCAAGAACTTGCTTAAGCACAAATGTCATTGACGCTTTGTTTGACTTGGTGCTATGAAGTACGTCGAGTTGTTACCATGAAATTGTAGTTCTTAACAAAACGAGACTATATCATATTCAATTCATTCAACTAGTAAGTATCATCGAGACTATTACATTATTACTAGACAGGAATATACAGGAAATCATAAACAAACACGGAACATAAATCACAAAGCACTAATGGAAATACGCTTGGCTCCCGCATTGCCATTCAACAATGCCGATCCACTGGTCTGTCTCAAATGGTTGTGATGCGTTTCCAGATCCTCGACATCCAAACTGAACCGACGGGGTCGCTCCCACATACCCACATTCTCATCAGCACCAGTGGTCGCTTCGAGCTGCTCCGACGAGAGACCAAACTTGGTGGCGATCTGCTGCACTCGTTCTTGTGCGGCCGCTGGATCAATGGCACCCTGACCCTCCTTGGTAAGGCGGGCTTGCGCATGCTGAAGCAGCTCCAGATGCTGTGTAACGGCCTCAATGGCACCTTCCTGGTGGTCGGTTTCACTGTTGAGAAGCTCGGCAAGTGCAGTTTCGTGCAACGCTGCTGCTGCCAGGTGGTTACCCGAGGCTGTGTACAGTCCGGACAGCAACTTGGTCATTTCCAGAGTGACGGGGTCACAGTTACCCCAGACCTGACGGAGGTTGTAGCAGATGTCTTTACCAAGCTGTGTGGCTGACGAAACGCGACCACGGCAGAAACGTGTTTCGACCAGTCGGCGCCCAATCCAGACAACAGCTGGGAGTGACCAGGTCTTTTGGACAATACGCGAGGTCCAGAGTTCGGTGAGAATGGCCTGCTTTGTTAGCATATCACTTGCTCTATATTTTTTACGGAAGTACATACCTCCAAATCCTCAAACATTTCATGTTCACCCAACACAGTGACAAGGTCATTTAGCTCTGCGAAAGGAAGTTCGGTGAACTCAAGTGGGAGCTCCTTGGTCTTGGTCATGATTTCTTGTAGCAGCATCTGAGACTCCATTGACATATTCTTTGCGGTTGTCTCTTCGGTACACTTCTTGGCCTGGTACCCGTTCAAGAACATGCAAAGCTTGATAGCAGTGAAGATGCTTTCCGGAGTACGCAATCCATCGGTTAGATGCACGAAGGAGTGGAACACCCCAGTCACATCTGCTGCGTCCTGGAATTGCGAACGATCGCAAAGGTTCTTCACCATACCCATGGTTGACGTGACTATGTTGATGTTATAGTCGTCCCGAAGTGATTCCCGCCTGCAAAGAGCGTAGAATTGCTGCACCGCATCCTTCTTCCGGAGCGGCTGTGCAACAGACAGGGTGTTGCAGAAGTAATCGTACAGCTTGTCCTGGGTGTCCTGAGCAGAGTTGTAGCGCTTCTGGTTCGTTTGAAGCGTGTAGAGTTTCTCGCCAGCTGCCAGTGTAGGCATGAGATCATGGCTGGATAGACTTCGCTGGAAGGCACTGTAGACCTGGCCCTCGCGAGACAGCTCGTCAAGGATCTGCTTCGACGAGCGTTGTTTACCAAAGACCTCTTCAAATGCAGCGACAAAGACGGCAGGACGATACTCATTGAGTGATTGGCGTTGAGCGGCAGGTGTCTCGTTGATCACACGCTGGTGCAGGTCGTCAATCAGTCGATTGCCCTCGTCAATGTAGCCAAGCTCCAGGTAAATCTCGGCTAGTCTATGAGCACGGTCAACCAATGCTTCATGGTTAGCAGTAACGTGCACCACTTCATCAACATGCTCATCAAGCAAAGCTGCGCCCTTACGACGCGACTCGGGGGACTCTTGGATAGCATGCATCCGAGCAATCTCTCGCAGCCACGAGAGTGTGGCCGGGGCGGAGAGCCCCTGCTGCTGCTTGGCCAACGCTAGCTCCTCGGCATACAGGGAACGTGCGGGTTCCGAAGTGTCCTTCTGGCGGAGATACAGCTGCGCCATTTGGTGCTTAATACTAATTGGGAGGGGCTCGGACATATCAGGCAGAGCACGCGAGCTTTCCAAGGGTGACACCCAGTCATGAGTATTCAAAACTTGATGGTAGTTGTTAATCGCCTCCCCGGCATGCTGATCGCTATCTGCGCAGAGGGCAGCAAGTGTAAGGGTTGCATCGCGTGTTCGTGCGTCCGTGGGGCCATACAGCTTGCGACATAGCTGCTGGTGCTGAGATGCGACCTGGTACCGCTCTGCATGGCTTCCTTGTGCAGCCTTATTGTTCAGAAGTTCCATATAGCCAGTGTAAGTCTTAGGTAGTAGTCCCTCGAGCAGCGCACGGTCATAGCCATCCTTTTCATCAAATCGGACAAGGGTAGGCCACAGATGGCGGTAGACCTCGAGCGCTGAATCCCACTGTTTGTTCTGCACGTAGATGTTGACCAGGGCCACTGCAGCCTTGACACCAGAAGAGCTAACTTTGCCATCGCGGATGCAGGCTTCGTAAATATGACGATAGCTGCTTTCAGCTTCAGCTCGTTTATCCAGGCGCAAGGCCAAATCGCCTTCATAGTATCGAGTATCGATTGTGTGTTTGTCGTGGTCGCCCAGTCGAGATCCAAAGAACTCGCTGACCTGATGAAGGAGAACCAAGGCTTTTTCAAACTGGAAAGTAGTCTCGTAGAACTCAACCACGGTCTTCACCACAGCGGTGACTGAGGGAACTGCCACCTGATCTGCCGTGATAGAAGCCTTGAATGCATTGCCGTATACCACAGAAGCAGTCTTAATGTCAAGGCGGCGGAACAGACAATATGCATGATCCAGGGCCAAGTTAGCCAGAATCGGAGCCTCACTAGAAGCGAACTTGGCCTTCGACTGTGGATCTTCCACTGTGGGCCATGCATGCTTCAGTACTGCCCATGCTGTGTCACTTCCATCACGCCACTCCTCATCACGAATATGCTGTGTGGTGAGTTGGTGACATAGTGTTAAGAGTGGCAAGGTTCGTTTCTCAGCTCCCGCAGAGGCAATAGAATCGATCCAACCTGGAAGGAGCTTACTCTCTTCGGGGGATAAAGCTCCCATGCTCTCCACATTGCCCTGGGCCGGGAGTGATCCCCTGGCCAGTGACTCTGCCAGGGTAACAGCCTCTGGTGAGTACTGTTGGCCACTAGCTTGGTAATATTTCCAGATCTGCAGCGACAACGCGCGTTCCATATCATCCAAGCCCATTTCGCGTGCTTCGACGCGCAACTCCTCCGCCCGTGAGGCCATTTCCGGGGATCTGACACCGCCCTCAGCCTCTAAGTCTGCTGACAGTTGGCGGAGAATGGTAGTTGCTTCATCAGGTCGACCTTGACGGCGCAGGAACTGTGAGTAGTAGAAAGCGACCTTTGTCTTCTGATCCCAGGCGGGGCTTGTTTCGACATTGCGCGCTGAAAGACCTGACCAGAGTCGGGTCAAAACAGCTTCGGCCTTGGCAGGCTGCCTGCTGTCTTCGTACATTTGAGCCAATTGCAGCGAGTAGGCAACACGACGTGGATCGGTAGCATCCATAGAACGCATCATGGTCTCATACTTGTTCCGTGCAATTTCTAGTGCCATCTCATCGGGAGGCGCTATGTTGAAATGTTGAGTGAGGAAGTCAGCAGCCTGCATTGCTTCAGACGAGTGGGAACCATATGTCATGACCGTCTGTCGGTAGAACTGCTTTGAGACGTCGTATGCAGCATCTTCTTGGTTGTTATCTCTGTAAGATTTAACCAGGCGATCGAGATATTGCAGGCGCTGGGCAAAGCTGATATCGGATGAATCCCAGCCAGACAGTGCCATATCACGTAGCGCGTCAGTCTTGAAGCCGGCTACTTGGTCTGCCTTACCACGGCCCTCAGGGGTGGCTACAAGGAGTTGCTCCAATTCGCGGGTGATGGGGTCCGATGAACCAAGCTGGGAACGGCTACGCATCCAGGCCTCATACAGATGATCATTCGCCCAGGAAGCCTTCGCCATGTCTGCTGCACGTGCACTGAGGATCAAACTCTGCAGCAAGGCGGGCGAATCGCCGCCCAGCACACTGCGGCGTACTGTAACAGCCAAACGATACAGTTCTACAATGCTGGATCGAGAAAACTGAGACTCGCGGTTGGTCAACTCCAGCTGAGCAAACAGGACTGAGTCTGGAATGGCCTGACGGAAGGGCTTCGGAAAGTTGAGCTCCTCACGTTTGGAGCTAGCAATTGGAGATGCTAACATATGGGAGAGCCAGTAGCGAGCCGTGTACTCAAGCAAAGTATATGCGTCTAGATAACGGTCACGAGCAGTGACGCGAAGCTTGTCCCAAGAAACCGCAGTCTCATCAGTAATCGACTTGCGAACCCAAGCCAACGAGCGAATCAATAGATCATAGTGGGCTTCAGATAGCGAGAAGGGCACCTCCTGGCCCATCAGTGCCCGAGCCTGTATGTGATCACGAATCAAGTGATGCTTGAAGGTAACAAAGCCGTCGCGGACGGAGATCAATCGAGATAGAGGCTGGAAAACTTCGCGTTCAGTATTCGATGGGCGAGATGTAATTTTCAGGGTCTTCAAATCCACTGCCAGTAGTTGCTCTATCTCCTGAATGCGTAAGGGACGCTCCGCAGCCAGGAGCCAGGCAAGGAGACTCTGGGTTCCTACACGGTTGAGGTCAATGCCGCGTATAAGTCGATCAATCAAGTCACCTAAGGTATGCGGGGAGGCCTTTACTGCAGATTGCATTTCGTTAAAAGTTGATACGCTTCGGATAGCCTCAATGGTGAGCTGAGCCCACACAAAACATCCCTGCGCTCGAGGAACAATAGCCGCTGCCAATGTATCTCGTTGTGGTGCATCAAGACCAGCAAATGCAGCATCGGAAGTCATCATGTCAACTAAAGTTGCATGAAGGTCATTCTGTGTCAAGGAGATGTTCATGGAAATATGTTGAGTCGTGGTTGTCTCCCTCATAGGCATCTGTGCAGCTGCGAGCGGTCGACTGAAGACGATAAGCTTTGACGGTGTATTGCGCTCGGAGACAGCGTCTTGAAGGCGTTGCAAGAACGGGCCGACGGTGACTTCCGAGTGTTTGAGCTGGTCAACGCCATCTACTACTAGCATAAAATGCATGTTTGACTGTAACGCTAAGCGAATAGCGGTCCATAGCTGTTCCTCCACTTGCGGGTCTGGTGCTCCAGTCATAGCAAGCTCAAGAGCATTCATAACGCTGGAGAGAATAGACTCATGGGTCTTTCGACTAGTGACACAGCGATCGAGAATCTGAGTTAGAAGACCCTTAAGGATGCTCAACGGCAATGTGGTAATGGGTACATCTGATCTGATTGAAATAGGAATGACGTTCCAGATATCGAATTCGGAGGATACCTGCAACTTTTCCATTGTCCACTGGGCCAATGCACTCTTTCCTGAGCCAGGATTGCCAGTGATCAGCAGCATATTGCGTCGGCTAATTGTAAATGTGGTCAAATGTGGATCAAACCATGCAAATGAACCATCAGCCAACGAATGATTATGTCCTTCAAGTAACATATGCAGGGGGCGATCTTGTAACTCGAGGAATTGATAAATGGCAGCGAGGTCCAAGGGGGTTTGCTGATTAGGTGCCCCCGTAGCCAAAGCGACTTGTGACATCCGGCGCCAGTGAGTGGTGAATCGATTAAAGTAGCAGAAAAATGAGCGGTTCACGGCCTCGCTCATGGATTGCCAGTTTTGTGAGCGCTCTGCCTCGCGGTATTCCATGGTGACATGCATAACAAGTTGAAGCACGTGGGCGTAGATCTCTGTAACCTCTTGCTGTAGAGCTCGGTAGGTCTGAAAGTAGCTTTCCTGTTGAAGAAGCAATGAAATTCCCAGTGTCACCTTGCCATACTGTCCGAATAGACTATCCAGGACGTCGATATGCTCAATGCCCAGCTACAATGGTCAGTCACTCTTGCAACAGGTAGAGTCAGGCTTCTCCATTTATGACTCACCTCAAGTTGTAACACAATAGCGCCCCAGATCATCTTGGCTGCCTCGTCTGCTCCGTCCATAAAGCCGGCCACGGAGTCTCTCAATGAGCCTACCGCAAAGGCTAAGCGAGAAGCTCGGCGTAGAGCACCATCTAACCTACTGCCATCTGGTGGCATGCGTCGTAGCCTCTCTGAAGCAATGGCATCGAAAAATACATCGACGGTGGGAGATTTTGTCAGAATCTCATTTGGGGACATCCCTAACCGCGTGGGACACTCCTTGGAGACATATTCAAGTGTCTCCCGGAGGAGTGGCTGCGAGTTAGAGTCCCCATTGGCAGCAGTATTCTCCGTCACGTATGAAGAAGACATGCTGTCCAATTGGTTTACTCAATGATGAAGTACATTAATTAGACATTCAGTACATACACATGTACAGTTGAGAGATGGTTTTCATGAATATGATATCGTCCGCAACAAGTCCTTGTTAAGGGCAGGCACTTTTGGTCTCCGGTACCTCATGCAATCCTGACATCATGAGAGAGACTTCCCAAGAATTTATTCCAAGGCTCATCATCGATTCCCGATTTCGATAAGGACCGTGGTTCACTGAAGTTAATTGAGCAAAAGATCAATACTGATTGTCGGATATTCGAAGGAAGAGCAAGGGCTCAAGGAGAAACACAAGTAATTGGCGTAGTCGTGGTGTCATAAGAAATCATCGTACCCATTTGTCACTTGTGAATGTTTGGTTCGATGCGTCATGGCCAATGTTTTGAGGGTTTGTAGTCATTTGATGTCGATGACATCACAGGCCTCGGGTTAGCCGTCGGAACATGTGAGATCTGGCTTAGAAGAATTCAGCAAAGTATTGGGATTGGCTGCGGTAATACATAAAGTTTGTTCATAATGCTTTAATGAATTCGTGCCGATTTCTGTTGGAACATAGTATCGTGTCCAGCACTGGAGAATGATTGATACATCAGCAATCCATTGCCACTAGGACTAAAAGTAGTATAAGATCGAATTAGGGTTACCATACCGGATGCCGGCTACATGTATCATTGGTCAGTGGACTATTTGATGTTAGAAATAAGCCAATCACTAGATATTGCCAAGGCGGTAGGTATAAATCGTTCACAAATACGACACCCTTCTATAGTTTTGCGCTCAATGCATTTCGAATTCCTTTGTGGACCATCAACGACAACGTCAAATGAAACGGTCATTGTGAGTTACTTAACTCTGGATAACAAGGGGAGTCTGGCATAGCTGGAGCTTAAGATGTCGCATAATTAGCGAGACCCACCAGTATTGGTCCTTATTTATTAATTGCGCTTGCCTTGGATGCTTTGAGATTACCTAGATGATTCTTATAATACTGCTCAATCGAACCTCTCGGAGGGGGCGGAAATAATAGTCTGCACCCTGGTCGTGGCATTTGTTTCTTATAGCTAAATATTGGCTTAATTGTAAGTTCCACAGGGAAAATGTATACCCAAAGAACTTTGATAAGTGAGACAAAGTTCTTACAAACAGCCACTTACTCTATGGCTATGTCAGGAGACAGAATACCAGGGAACTAAGCAAAGCTCAATATCTAGGTGGACAGCCTACCACCTTTTATCTGGCTAATGAATTAATAGCATATCAGCGTTATCCTTGAAGAATGGTGTGAGTGATCGGTTCTCTTAATGGAAAGGTGATAACAAAACTTACAACTACATAGCACGGTGATTCATATTGCTCGCTCTATCGTATCGAAGGAAGTCAGGTATCGATATAGATGACATTCAGAGTACGTTCAATACTACACGAATGGACGAGGGCGCTAGTCGCCTGGAAGGACATGGCAAAATGTGCGTGCATCGAATGAATCAAATTCTACCAATTCAATCATAGAACTGACGCCATAGAATTCTTGACTCACCAGTAGGGTCGCTAAGCACTTTTCTCTAGGCGGGCTAGGACAGATAAAGAAGAGCTCTTGGATCAAATAGGCCTCCAGCGAAAAGACAGCCGCGCTGGTGGTTGTGTGCGATGTATGGCGAAACGTTCCTTCTCGATCGCCCCGGTGCCTTCAACAAGAGAACCTTCGCTAAGATTTTGACATGGGTATCTAATATGAACTCTGGGGTAGTGCCCACGTGTAGTTGCTTAGCTGATGGAAGACCACCAATGCGTAAATATAGTCCAGCGGTATGGGTGGAGACGTTGAGGGAATCCTCCCTTTGGTGAGTAGCAGTGTAAGTACCAATGTAAACCCTATGTCAACCTCTTCGTTGTTTCCCGCTAAATTCAAGTAGGCTAAACAATTTCTCTCTCAGCAGGCAGTGGTCTCAATGGAAAGCTTCCTGGATCTTGTATATCCAGTGAGGGAACGCAATCTCGCATAAGCCAAGCTTTGAACCAAGACGATACATTCAAACCATCACCAGGGCAATATCTCATCATTGTATCAATATGGCCCCCAATGTCCCAAGAGTGTTTAAAGAACAAGCACACGCTACGAGCATCAATCCAGACACATCACGACCAAAGACCAATCTAGACCTTTACGATTCAAAATTTACACTTTCCATCTAGCTATACTCAATTACTATTCGAAGTTTCGGAAATGATTTCCTATCGGCCCTCACCTGATCATGAATGAGTAAACAAAAGGAACTAGAGTCCGACAACAATGTCCGTCCAAAGTATAGCTTTTCCTTACAGTTGTAACCAAGGTTGCTAAGCATACTCAACTGTAGGTGTGTTCTTGAGTAAATACATACACTAGTCCAATTCGTGGTTATGTACAAGATCAAGGATATGAGACAATTGTTCACTTTCAGAGTGCTTGTATGACAGAGATGCTGGAAAAAACCCAATAAGCGAATCATAATAAACCGATCGACAGGGTCCCATATAATATCGGACTCTGTCTAGCGGACAACCGAAAGATGAGCCGAAGGAACACCGAGGGCGCCGCTAATACTAGCATGGCGATATGAGCCTAACACAAAGGATCTCATAAATGAAGGAATTGATTGGAACAACGAAATGGTGGCGTACGGTAACCACACGGTTTGCCATACCGGAAAGCGCTTACTGATGCGGCGATATTACCCAGCAGTTATACTTGAACAGTGGTAGCTTATATCATATCCACGGGAAGTATGGCCGTCTATGAATCGCTAGGTTCGTAAGAAACCGTTGTCGTCAACCAGGTAGTTTCTATCGCTATTCATAATCTTCCAAGCTGCTCGATACATAAAGTGTCCGAGTAATCGAACAAGCGACTTTCATCAAACCGAATCACAAAACAACGCTTTCATAAGTATGCAGCTGCGGCATCGGTATGCAAAGTCTTTCATTGCCAGCCTAACGGGAGGCTCTGACGTGGTATATACACGAAGGTACTAATACCAGCGCCTATATAGTATCCACTCCGATTATTATGACCCCTTAGACTACCCTCAAACCCTCGATGAAGCGAAGGAGCGCCTCCGCATACAGGCAGAACACACCGCCCAGTATGCTAGTGCTGTGGCAGAAGACTTCCAGTGGAAAGCCGAGCAGGAGATGTCCTTTTTATCGGACGAGGAGATCAATAACGAAATAGACAGAATAAGTCAAGAAGCAAAAGAGGATATCGATAGACATATAGGAGAAACCACCGAATGGCTGAAGGCTTTCACGAGGAAAGCCGCTAGGAGAGATGTGGGAGAAGAGCAAGAGAGGCTGTTGGTGAGGAGCGTCTCGAAAAGACATGCAGGAGAGGAAAATGGGAGGTCATTGATACATTGTGCCAAGGAGACTTTTCATACCGCGTTCAAAGCTATCACTGACTGTTTCCGCTGTATCTTTGAAAAGATTCGACAGGGATGGTTGAAGTTTAAAGAGGGGGTACGATGGGTGGTTAAGGAAGTTAAAGAATTGATGAGGCGTGCTGTCTCCGATATAAGGCAGCTCTTCCAGGTGGATGTACACCTGGGTTATACTTTGTGGTGCCAGTCAGACATTCTGGGTTCTTAGTTTAGAATAAGCTTCCTGTTCGAGGGTAATGCGGTGGAGATGATGGGGCTATACACCTTTGTGGTGTTGAGTTTCATTCGGACTGCTGAGATTTGCACAAGAATTTAATTTATCTTATTGTTATTGTTATTGTTTTCATTTTTTTGAATCAACGTTTCTTCGACCATAAACAACCCATGATAATGGAATTGATTAATCACGATCTAGATGAAAACATGCCTAGAAATCAAATCATTTCAATATAAATACTTGAAGTACCAGATAGACACAAAGATCCCCATCATTTATAAGTACTTCTTCCCCATATAAGCTTCTATCCCAATGGACATACTTCCCGCCACCCAATGTAGAGATACACCAGCTGCAATTTAAAATGAAAATTGAAGAATGGAACACAATGTAACGGCAAGAACTGGCCCCTCCATTATGGAGTACAAGTGAGACATTCATTATACTTTCACCAACACCCTAAATTAGTGCCTTCCGTGCACAAAAGCTACCCATACATCGTGCGATAGGCTAATGATGCGAATATCAGAGTCTGTCGATCACTTTCCTTCATTGCATTCCGGTAAATATGACGGATTCGTGGGCGTGTAATGAACATGGGAGGTAATGTCCACAAAGGAGCCGCATTCTTTTGTCCTTTGCGTTGAAAGTTCAAAGACAACGTGGAAGCCTCGGCGTGGGGCGTTACCCACTTGATATCGATCGAGATTTCAAGCGACCCCATTCGTCGGCTTTTCTTTGTTGAGATCACTTTCATCTTGTTCTTTTTTTTTTTTTTTTTTTCCCGATAGTGTTAACATTTATAGGACGCGCCACTCTAGGCTTCCATATAAGCTACTAAATCCACGGCAGCGGCAGTTTATGCACACTAAAAATGGATGCTGTCTGCCAAGTAATCACGCAATCATACATATCAATTTCATATCAAGCAGGACGCTGATCAATTGGGAACTACTAGTAGCAACTTTATGCGTAAATCCAGCGCCAAGCTGCTAGTTCCATCCAAAAAATGCTTAGCATGCAATCGTGTTAGTATAAATTCCAGCCGAAAAGATGCAGCACACGCCTCCATGTGAATAATTTTTAACAAGAAGCTTTCAGCATATACAGTCGACATCCAGATAAAGACAAAATTTGCGGCATATATCGTGACGAGCTACAAACAACGAAACCAGAAAGGGGTATTTTATATACAAAAACTACCAGAAGTACGGATTTCCATAGACATCCGCATAACACTGCAGTGAATCGGGGCAGCTGAAGAAAGTGATGAGTTAGCCTAATGTTACCACCACAACGATTTCCATATACTTACTACACCGGATCCTTCCCGAAAATGATATGCCACGAATACTCCATCACTCGCGAGGTGACATCGTCCGGCAAGTCATTGGTCAAAACCCAATTATAATACTGCATATATTCTTCGAAAGAACGCTTCAAGACCTGGTCGCGTGATACCGCGAATTGCGAGCAGCACGGTGCACCAATGACTTCGGGAACTTCGGTGTTGTTGAACAGCTCTTTCCAGGCCTGCGCGTAGACCGCCTCAGTCGTTTGTCCGGGGCGCGGAGGGTTCCGTAAGGGTCTGAGCTCTTCAGGGCAGCCAGGTGTTTCCTGGCATCGGAGATTGGCGTAGCCACTTTGCTGAATAAAGTCGGCTTGAAGGTTGCGGATTGCCACGACGTTGCTGTACTCCATGTTATCGGTGTGCCAAGAAGCCGGCCAGCCGTCTTTGTGGCTGTGGATGAACACGATGAGCGACGGGAGGTCGTGGTAATGTTCGATGATGTACTGGAGGTACGCCAGGCTTTCGCGTCCCTTATTGATCGGGGTATGCCGCGTAGCGCTCAAATCATCAACCGTGTAGATCACATTCCGCCATCTGACATGTCAGAAAACCGCTTCCACAAATGCGACGAGACGACTCACTCATTTAAATCATTAGCGACCCATGACGTATCCTCCCAAGACATCTTGGCCATCACAAGCGCTCGGTCGTTGGGGACGATGATCGGGGTGGTCTCGTAATTCTGAGGGGAGATCACATCCGATTCCATAACTGCTTTGTCTCCCGGGACACCCTGATTGCCGCTGTCGGAACCCGCGGAACTACCTCCGAAGCGCCAGAAGGACGATAGCGGCACGCGCGAATCATCCTGAACGGTGTCGAGATGGCGCTTGATCAGGAAGATGGCGAGGATCAGGAGTGCGGCCGTACCAACACGGATGGATAGTCTCATTTCATAACATTAGTTGTCGACCCAGTTGAATAATATGTATGTATGCAGATTCCCGAGGGATCAAAGGGGGGAAGGAAATCCGGCGATGTCGGTGGTAATTAAAGGGAGGAGCTGTTAAGCGGCGTGTTACATGAAAAATTAAGTCAAACACCGGTGACGAACGTAGGTCGTGCAAAGAGAGGGGGAATGAAAGGATATTAAAGAGTCCCCGGATTCTAAGCCAAAAATGAAGGGATTCGAAGGAAAAGGAAGACAATGGCGATTATGAGGCCATAGGATAGATAAAGAATGCGTCAGAAACTCGATACAAGAAACGGGAAGAAAAGAGGAAGAGAGGACAAGAGGGAAAAAAAGAAAAAGAAAAGAAGAGAAGGAAAAGAAAATACAAAATAGAAAATAGAAAAAAAAAAAAAAAAAAAGAAAAAGAAAAAGGTACGATAGGAATCATAGGATAGTAAGATACCATGACATACAATATGAAAAAAAAAAAAAAAACGAGGCAGAAAAATGTGAACCATAGGAATGGCCACGATGGCCTCCCTGAGCAGTGCGAACAGAGAAAAAAATGCTTATCACTGGAGGCGTTGACACGCGGATTGGTGGGAATGGAAGGGGCGAGACACAACTGATCTGCAGGGGCCATTCGATGCCTCTCTTGCGTACGCTTGAAACGAGTTCCATGTTCCTAGTAGATTGACTGAGATGACGAAGGATTGAATCAACCACTGCAATTGTTCTAACAAAAGCCGAGTCTTCTTGATGGAACCTCATTTAATCTTGATTTCCCTGACATTGGTTGATTAGATCTCCTTAAACACATCGAGACACATTGACTTGTTATTCAATCCTCATAATTAGGGGGTTAGTCAGCCTGCCTGCCAACCAACGATGGCTAGTAGTACGTAGCAGTAGTGGACTAAAATAACCATCCCCCAACTACCGACGCATAATCCACCCACCTCGCTTCGTAGCCAAAAGGCTTGATCGTCAACGTCGGCCAAATACAACTCCGTCGGCCTCCGGGTGTCACACATCTTGTCGCTCTCCCTCTATATATCATCTGCGCAGATACGATGTACCCTCTTCAGAACTCAATACAGGGGTACCCCGAGTCTGGTCTTTCTCCTTCGGTCAACAAAAACCGAAGATCCCGTCTTACGATAATCTAACATGGTTACGATCCACAGTCGATGGAGTCTAATCTCTAACGGCCCACCCAGCTGTTTAGTCTGACTGGTCGGTGGTCCGTGACAGTGGCTCCCGTAGCGCCATCATTTTATTCTTTCATTTTTCCATCTCGCGGTTCAAGATTCGAATATACTTCAATAACCACACCCTATATTAACCTAGATGGAAGTCGCACACGACGGAAATACACAAACCGTCCACTCAGAATGCGGTACCTTCATCGCGGAACTCCCGGGCCGATCGTCGAGCTCATAAATGTCCGAGAGAACCCCCTAAGGGACTAAGGGTCTAGGGTTGTGTCTCCATGACCCGGTGATCGACAGATGAAGTCCCTTTTACATCCAGGGTCGAGGTTGAAACTAACCACTTCGGAATATCCTCCTTGTCTGAATGAAGTAAACAATTCTCGGCGAAATCTTGTCCCGCCTGAAGATGACGACGACGCCGGGACGTGCAGTTTAGACATGAATTTTTGTTTCTATTGTAGCGGATATCGAGTTACCCACGGAGCATTTACCTGAAAATGCGGGGCTGAAACGTCGGTTTCCCTTGCCCGCTTTCTTAATTTATTTTTTCCGGCTCGCTGTGAGGCTCGGTTGTATATCGGGTTTCCCCTGGATTGTTTACTTGCATCTGCGGAGTATATGGCTCCCCTTCTTGGTCCGACCAGCCACACACCTATCACTTACGATACATTCACAATCACGTAAAGAAAAATAAAATGAAATAAAAAATAGGAAAATAGAGAACTCTCTCCAACCCCATTGTATTATTACCTACAAACCTACCGAAAAGTATCACCCAGCGTGCTCGATATTAAAAGCGGATAGATCAAGCAGGGAGACGTAAGGGGACAACTTTTCAACAGGTCAATAGAGAACTCTATATTATACTTTTTATCTCGATAACGGCGAACCGCGGAGGAATGCCGGTGGCGCTTACTTACTTTCTTCATTTCCTTTTAAGTAAATAGAAAAATAAAATAGAAGCCGTATGTCAACAGCAACCGCTACCATTCTGACTTAACCTGGGGCTAACTTGAATCTATAGCACTTTCGAGTCTCGTCAAACCTAACTCAATAAGCAGTATCTATGTAACTGCATTGTAATCACATAACGATGTAAAGCATCTTTTTGCAAAATAACCCGAAAATTAATCAACCGCAACACATCTCTAGCTCGGATGGTCAAACCACACTTCATACTCTACTTAAGGGCCAACTTTCTTATAAAAAAAAACTAAACCCAAATAGACACTAAGTAATTATAATGTTGAATACACATTGACAGCCAATACATAATGCCTCGAATTAAAGCAACCAGTCGGGAAATAAACATGTGAATATGGACCTTAGAACCATTATTTGGTGACAGGCCCATGTTGGTAGTTATATCTTCGTACTCCGTACATACAAATAGACACACCATTAGCATTCTGCTGCATTATGATATCACCGTTAACTAGACCAGCTGCAGAAGCAGTACTGCTTAGTTGAATGACAGGGAGTGGCGGGTGGGTTTAGTATCAGACTAGGAGTTCCTGCTGGCTATATCAACAGTCCAATCGGGTTGCTCTGAATTTATCCAGGAGGGAATTTTCCTTGGTGGGGAGGCCTCGAATTTATACTTTACAGAGCTCAGAGAGGCTAGGTAAGGATTATGTAGCATACGGGGGTGTCAACATGCTTATAGTCAAGTAGATTTCATGCCATATTCAATTTTCATCCTTGGAAACCACAATATGAACATCCAAATCATGCTTTAAACATACCCAGGCGCCTGCGCCTTGAGCTTGCACACATAAATCATCTTGCCTCGTACAGCAACATCAGCTCACAGAAAGATATCAACTCTCCTCACAAAATAACAACAGAGAAGATAAACAAAACGAAAATTCCTAAAGGGAAAGTATACATGCAATATGCAATATGCAGCTTGGTCAACAACAAGAGAACGCCAGACCAATCCAATGCGGTTGTGAGAGGTATCAGAGAAAAATGTGAATATCGAGACATTGTCGATAAAAAACACGTCGGTCAGGTCATATTGTCCTAACTCGAGTGTAAGTTGGGTGTTGCAAAGCAGAGCAATACGGGAATTGAGAAGTAGATTCGCCAGTATCGGGGTGAGAGTGACAGGAACAGCCGAGCGAATGCCGAGGGCCGTTGATTTCAGCAAAAGTGAGTGTCGGACTGGGGGCGCCGCCGAAAAGAGCTCAGCAACATTTTCCCTTCTTCTTAGTAATTTCAATCCTTTCATCGAGCTCGTCTCCGACACTACTCGGGGGGAATCCAAGCCAGCTTCGACGATTGTCACCATGTCCCAGCCGGAAACTACCGTTTCCTTCGAGACTCCTCGGTCCCACCGGCGATGTAACGCCGTCCATACCTGATGTAGATCCCTGAGATGAGGTAATGCCAAGTTGTTTATTGCGCTGCTCCACCAGCTTGCGCGTGATGACCTGGAAAACCTCCTCGATGCCCTCTCCGTCCTTGGCGCTGATTTCATGACAGCAGTCCCATCCGATATCCTGTCCCCAAAATCCGCTACTGCGCTTGCTGTCGAGACCCTGGAGCGTGGTGCTAGACGAATGGCTGACGCCAGCCGTGGGTGGGGGAGTGGACGCCTGAGACGGATAGAGCTGCTCGGCGACGTAGGCGATGGTGCGTTCAAAGGGGACTTGACGGCGCAATGGATCCAGCGCTACGATGTCCGATTTCGTTCCGACGACATGGATTACAACAGGATCCTCATCGCTCAAGTTCTTCTTCAATTCCAATAACCACCCCGTCATTTCCAGGAAGCTTTGTTTGTCCGTAATGTCGTAACACAGGAGGCAGGCGTTAGCGCCACGGTAGTACAACTTCGAGATACTGCGAAACCGCTCTTGTCCAGCCGTGTCCCATATTTGCAGACGGACAATGGTATCCGAGGAACTATCGAGGACACGCTTGGTGACGAAGGATGCACCAACAGTGGACGCGGTTCCCACAGGGTTGAAAGCGTTCTTCACATAGCGTTGGACCAAAGACGTTTTGCCAACGCCTGGAACAAGTCGTTAGTCATTAGTGGAAAAAGAGGGAGAGACGGGGGAAATCGGTGTCCGTACCTTGTGAGCCCAAGATGACGATCTTGGCCTCGAGGGATGAACTCATGGCGGGGTAGACGCAAAGGCGGGGCCGCTGGAGAACTGAATTTGCATATTCCAGCAAATATTAATAGTAACCGTAGGAAGAGATAAAAGCAAACCAGCAGTGAAAACTACTCGTATGCAACGACATGCACGCCAGATCCCGGTCGTAAAAAAAAAATAAATAAAATAAAATAAAATAAAAAAGGAGAGAAGAAAGGAAAGATAATCTCCCGATAGGAGAGACACAATGGGTATTAATCAGACAAATCCGGACAACAGCGGAGATGGAGAATTCTTTTCTCACAGCCAAAATATGTGAAGGAAAGGAGAGAAGGAACGAGAAGATATTTCAGTGGTTGATGGCGGAGACGAGGCTCAAGAGAAATTTACGAGGACAATTTTAATTAGAATACCAATCATCGCGATCCTCGACGAAACGTACGTACAAGACGTGACAGGGCGAAGTCAATCAGCTGACCCTCACAGAAATCAAGATCTGGTCAGGTGTCAAACCCCATCTTCATTGTTTCCGGATTTATTTCTTCTCTTGAACACTCAAGTCGATTGTCCTTCTGCCTGTCATTCGCTGTACTTTTCTCACCTGACTTTGTGTTGGTTTTCTTTTTCTTTCAGCGTAAACAATTGAAAACCATGCGAAATGCTGGTAATTACCGATCAACAATCGTCATTGCGCTCAGACAAGGGAACAAATCCCTTACATTCTTGGCTCTAAAACGAATAATAACAACATAACCAAAACACTAATCAGGCCTTCAAACAAGTTTTCTCTACATATAGAAACTTTGTCTCGAGAATATATCATTATCATTTGGAAATTGAATGGTTTTCATCCTCACCGCGACCTTTTAATAGAATATATACCCCCGATGACATCATCCGGGCACCACTCTCAAATTTAAATCTGCCCTAGGTTTAATCAGGCTAGTTGACGGATACATTCGGAGGATTATATAGTCTACGAAATTCCATCCGGATTGTCGACTTTCATACTGTAACCCAGGAGTGAGTGGTCCAGGCAGATATCTTGTCTGGAAGTACATACCTATAGTGGTTTGGCTGCTGGTTTTGCGGATGAAGTCTAATCAGGAAACAGCAACGGTGCATCGGGCCCTACACACTTCGAAGCACTTGTATTGAAAGATGAACAATATAATATTCATAGGAAATCGACAAGGGGCGCGCAGCTGAAAAGCTATAATATAATCTATATAACATATGTGCTTTTCTCCCATCGTCTCAACTCCCCAAGGAAGATGAGATATCATTGTCGAGGATCCGGCTTCCCCCGATCACATTTAAAAGGCAAGAAGATATACACTTACCCTCAGGCTGCTATTTTTCCAAGTCCACAGGCAGCTAGGCTATGGTATATTCTCTGACATAGCCTAGGGCTTGAACTATTCATGGTCTAGTGGTGACTTGACTCAGAAAATAATTAAAGAGTATTAGAAAATGGCGCTGGTATTGTAGTTAACTATATATCTTTTCGTCAAGATATGGGAAGGTAGTCTATATATCATTGACCTTTGATGTGTGGTAACGCGTGGTCAAAATCACCCATGTGGCACCAATACATGGCAGCTGTCATGTGTGGACGTGATTATAGTTTGGGATACGGAGACAGTGTTATAAAAACAGCTGCGCTAGTGTTCGGTTGAAGATATATGATTGAGCCCACTTCCCCTTTTGTCTTCCCTCAACTGCCTCTTCCACTTCATTCATATATCAGTCAACATTAAGCATTCAATATCCATCTTGGCTACCTGTGACCGAAAATACTCTGTTGATCTAGATTTTACCAGGGTCTTTGAAAAGGTTACAGCAAGCTACTCAGCACCTGCGATGACTATACGCGAGAGAATCTTGGTGGCGAATCTGACGATGCTATCTCGGTGACTGTGCAGGGCGTGTGCGGCTACTCTGTCTCTGCCAGACCCAGCTCCGAATATGTCACTCAGTTTTGCCTCGAGTCCTTCAGCTGAGGATGGAAACTGTGAATCTTGTTTGAACCATTTCTGCACCCCCGGTCGTCTTCAAAGGGCAGACAGGGGAAGATGTCGTGGGTGAAGGACCTCTTTACATCTATATAATGAACCAATTACGAGCTACTAGTTCCTTGGGTTTTATCCTGGGGCATAATAGTCATGTGTTCAAAAACGCACCTGGGTTTTCGGCGTAGCGCAAGAATCTCGTAACTGAAGCTGCTATAGTATCCTCTGTCCTTCCAAGACGAGCCTCAGCATCTGCAAACGTTATATATCCGATTAAGAATACCTTGATCGCATTAGAGAGAATAGCCACTGTCGTAATATCAAGGCCGTAATGTAGTTTACGGTGTGGTCTAGTAACTTATCACTCAGAGATTGGCTTACAAGTCTCCCCTGAACCGTCCAACTGTCATTCGAAATTTGGTAATAATACCCGGTAGATAGGAGCTGCAATTAGGTAGTCATCAAGATACTTCATCAAATATAAAGACCAAGCTCCATACACGGCATGAATAGTAGTGGTATAAGGGTCGACTCAGCGTGAGTTTTCCTACAGGTATAAAGTCTCACTGTCTGCATTTTCTCTTGACCTTGTTATAAGAGGCTTCGATAACACCGTCAATATCTGACCTATATAGGGATCATCTTGCTGATACACCATGACACGTTTAGCCGATTAGAGGGAGCTTAGTTCCATTTAGCAATCTTTAAACAAGAAGGGAGAAAATGTATTGTTGAATTCATGTCAGTATGTGTAACTGTTAGGGCATACTTTGCCATCATTTTTAGAGTAGTACATTGATAGTATTGTAGGGTGTGATGGCGCATTTGGTCACTGGTTGAAGCTCTTCTGCTTTTATGAGCATACACTTCATGGTACGATTTATTATACCCAGAGATCATACAATAGTCAATATATACACATAGTATAGCGTTGAATACTATTGATGCCCCCTATCACTACTACAGTAGGAAGCAGCACGTGTGGTGACATTGCCACAGTGGTTCTGTTCGTCCCCACCAAAGTTCCATTCGCACTCTGCCACAATGCCAATAATCATCCCCACACAGTCTTATCGAAGGAGATAATCAGGGGGATACCATTTATTGCTTCTCCACATAAACGTGGGGACTGACTGAACTTTGACTTGAACATAGACCATGCCAAGAGCGATCGATGTTTAAGAACTAACAATTATTGCTATATGGAGACTTGTGCTTAAAATTTTTTATATGGAATGGTGGTCAACGTTCTGTTTGCATTTACCTGAAAAGTAACTTGATCGCTCATTTTGATAGTGACAGTGGCGTATTTCCGAAATAGATATTATCCGAGCCTACTGATATCTTGTTTCTTACAATCTTTCCAGAGAAATAGGAGAAATGTAGAAATTGACTTCGATATTCTATTCAGATCATCAAGTCTAATGCCAGTGATTGTCATTTATGACAATCCTTAGAGTATACACATGCTTTGCTCTTTGGCAATGAAAACAAAAATCCATAGCATCCGTTCCACGGAGAAAACTCAAGGGGTAATCATATCTGAAAGCCAAATAAACAAAACGGGGAATCAATTGAACAGCCGCACCGACACAGGGCAGCCGCGGCGCCGAATCCATCGGCATTAAAACTTTCAATATGGAAATGGTATATAGAAGGGAGAACCCGGAAAAAGAAAGTTGACCTTTGATAGGCTTCAGGGCGACTGGTGAGACGAAATGTCCCTCTCATTTTCGCCTATGTTCCATTTTACTTTTGTCTTTTTATTTTTGTTTTTGAGATAAAATCGATCGATCCCTTTACTCCGAGGTCGAAGGGGAGTATTCGGCAGCGGTGGCCTTCTCAGGATCTTCGGCGGAGTTGCCGAATCCATACTCGTTCGCCTTTTGCTCGATCTCCTCGTCGGAAAGCTTCGGCAGGTCCTTGGAGGCCTTGACGTAGCTGATGTTCTCGGTGTAGCCCTTGGCGAAGATGATATCGATTTCCTCCAAGCTTCGGTTGGCGGTCTCGGGGTAGAAGAGCCAAATGATAGGGATAAACAGGGCGTTCAGGGCAGCGAAGAACAGGTAAGTACCCCATCCAATGTGAGCAATCATGACGGGAGTAATCATGACAACAGTGAAGTTGAAGAGCCAGTTGCTGCAGGTGGAAACAGCGTTGGCCTTGGCACGAGTCTTGATGGGGGACAGCTCAGCAGGGTACAACCAGGGAAGAGGAAGCCAAGCAGCACCGAAAGCAGCCATGTACAAGAACAGGCCAAACACAGCACCCTTGGATACTTGCTTGTCATCAGGGATCAAACAAGCAAAGGTGATGATCATAGCAATAGTCTGGATAATAGAGCCACCCAAAAACAGCTTGCGACGACCAATCTTCTCGATAAAGAACCACGAGAAGGTGGCAAAGATGGCATAAACAATCATATTGATACCACCAATCAAAAGGGCTTCATCGTTGCTCTGGTGCAGGGACTGCTTCAGAAGGACAGGAAGGTAGTAAATCACAGCATTGCAACCTGAAAGCTGTTGGAAAATTTGGGAAGAAGACCCGATAAGCATACGACGCAGGTGCTGAGAACGGCCGCCAGTAAGAAGGTCCCTGTAGCGAGTAGTGGCTCCAGCACCGGAACTATTGTTCAAGTTAGTCACAGTCATATCGAGTATAAGCTTTCAAGACAGCAAACATACGCTCTAATAGAATCGATGACCAGGTTCTTCTGGATCTGGGTCTCCTGGTCATGGATCTCAAAGCCACCAAGGGCAGCAAGCACGTACTCTCCCTCCTGGATGCGGTCCTTAGAGATCAAATAACGAGGGGAGTCAGGAAGGAAGAACATTCCAACAATAATGATGACACCGAAGACGATCTGGAAAGCAATGGGGAAACGCCACACCAAGTCATCGGGACCATAGTGGGCTCCAAAGTCAATCCAATAGGCAATTGCAGTACCAATAGCAATGACACCACCCTCGATACAAATCAGGAGACCGCGGTTACTGGTCTTGGAGCATTCGGCCTGGTATGTGGGAATGGTGGAAGTGTTCATGCCGTTACCGATACCGGTGATAACACGACCAATGAAGAACTGAAGCAGAGGAATGTGGCCAACAAACGAGGTAACCTGGATGATGACTCCAACGATCATGACAATAGCGCCGGAGAAGATCATCCACCGACGACCAGTACGGTCACCAAACACCAGGGCAAAGATAGCACCTGCCAAACAACCCAATTCGTAAACAGCTG